GTGGAAAATTAGGAACACTAATGCACTATTGGTGTAGCTGTGACCCAAGACAACCATTCTGGACAACAACTTGGAGCTTTATTCCTTTGGACGTATACCTTTGGGCATGCCACTACTATGTTTGTACCCCAAAGAGATAACAGAAAAATTTAAAAAAATCTATATGTATAACGATTTTTATAGCAGCTCTTTTTCATGCTGGCAAAGAATTGGAAATTGAGGGGATAACCATCAATTGGGGAATGGCTGAACAAGTTGTGGTATATTGTTACAATGGGATGCTATTGAGTTATGAGAAATGAGGAGCAGGATAGTTTTAGAAAAAAAACTGGGAAGACTTGTATGAACTGATGCAGAATGAAGTGAGCAGAACCAGGAGAACATTGTACACGGTAACAGCTATTTCGTGAATGACTTTTAGCTAGTCTTGGCAGTACGATGGTATAAAAGACTTATGATGAAAAATGCTATCCACCTCCATAGAAAGAACTGAGGAGTCTAAATGAAGATTGAAGCAAACTTTTTTTTTTTGCTTTCTTTATTATTCTTGGGGTTTTTTGGTTTGTGGCTTTTTTTTTTAAACAAATGGCTAATGTGGAAATGTTTCATGCGAATGCACAGGTTATGAAGGGCTTTGAAAGCCAATTGGATGATTTTATAATCAATACTGGGGATAATAAAGAGTCACTGGAATTTTTTTAATGGAGTGAAGAAGGCAGGGAGATCAACCAGCAGGCTACTATAGTAGCCTAGGCATGAGATGATGAAGGCTTGCAGCAGGCCACTTTCAGTGTCAGAGAAGAGGAGGGTGTATATAGGAGAGATATTACAAAGGCAGAATCAAAAGTACTTGATATCTGATGGGATATTGGAGAGGGTGGGCCATGGGAGAGTGAGAAGTCAAGGATTACACCTAGGTTTTGAATCTAGCTAGGAGGATGGCGATACCTTCTACAGTAATAGTTGGGTAAAGTTTTGGGGGGAGAGTTAATGACTTCAGTCTTGCACACGTTGAGTTGAAGATGTCTATGTGACACACAGTTGGAGCTGTCCAATAGACAGTTGGAGATGTGTGCTGGAGGTCAGGAGAGGAATTAGGACTGGACAAGTAGATCTAAGAGTCATCTGCATAGAGATGATAATTGAATCCACGGGAGCTGATAAGATCACCAAGTGAAATTATATATAGAGAAAAGATAAATTGACTCAGGAGAGAGTCTTGGGAGACCCCCCTCCCCCGCTCCCAGTTATCAATCATGAAGCAGATGAAGATCCAGCAAAGAAGGCAAAGAAGGTGTGGTCTGTTAGGTGGGACAACTAGAAGAGAACAGCGTTACAAGAACCTCGAGAATAGAGTGACCAACATGGTCCAAGACAGCTCAACAGTGTTCAAGACAAGACAAGAAAGGAAAGAGGGTCACTGAAGCATTTTTAAATGCACAAGAGGGAACAGAAGGAAGGCTAGAAAGAACCACAGATGAGCAGGACAACTTTGAAAGTTACAGATTGAATTTATTATATACTTTTTAAAAGCAAGCTCTACATAATAAAGATTCACATAAATTTTTCATTCATAATCCTCTTTTTCTGTCCTACTTTGTATGTAGAAATCTTTTTTAATATTTGTTAAATTTAAAATAATAAAAAGTGGAGTGGTCAACTGAGTCGAGCACAGCAGAGAGTTCAAGAAGGCTGAGGACTAAGAAAAAGGCGTGGGATGTCACAATGAATTCTATCTCCCTGATTCTTGTGGTCCAGGGGCCCTCTTGTGGCCTGGGAGGAAATGCAGCCTTGGGAATGGAATCCCTGGGGGCCCCAGTGTCTGCCCCCAACCTTCCCTTTCCTCTGGGGAGGGGCTTCCCTTGACTCTAACCTGAACCTGCACACTGCAGAGGTCACTCAGCCTTGACTCTGGGGTAAAGCACCCTCCCTGAGCACCGGCGGAGCCTCCCTCCCCCTCCCCTAAATGGCCTCCTCTCTGAATCCCCAGCCCCCCAATTGTGGCTCTGTTCTAGAGAGAAATTAGGTAGGGCAGGGGCATGGCTGAGCGGCGGGTATGTCTTGGAGCCTAATTCTCTTTACCTCTAATCCATGCTTCTCTGGCTCAGAATTCAATTCCATAGGGATGGAGGTGGGAGTGGATAAAATTCAATGAATAAGAAGACAAGCATTTCTGGCACCCTACTTTGTCCCAGGCACTGAGCTGGGGACTGAGGACACAAGAGAGAAGTACCCTCGAGGAGCTTACATTCAACATGGGGAGATAGCGTGTACATCGATACGTCCATTTTAAAAAACCTGCACAGTAAATATAAGGTAATTGGAGCAGGGTCCTTGCAGCTGGGATGATCAAGAATGGGCCACTGAGCCGAGCTTTGAGGTGAACAGGAGGAGCATTCCAAGGATGGGGGCAGGAGTGCACAGCCAGAGCAGAGACATTGAGATGGGAGATGGAGAAACAACCTGGAGGCCAGCTCTGCCGGACTCCAGCAAGTGAGAAGAGGTGTGATGGGTAACAAGGACAGAAAGGTGGGTTGGAGCCAACTTTAAGTGTCAAATTGAGGAACGGAAGCCTAATCCTGGATGTAACAGGGAGTCACAGGAGCGTGTGTGTGTGTGTGTGTGTGTGTGTGTGTGTGTGTGAGAGACAGGATTCGAGTTGTACCTTAGGAAAATCACTTTGTTGACTGTGTGAAGGGTGGACTGAAGAGCAGAGAGGCAGGAAGGCCAATTAGGAGACTTGCACTAGCCTAGGAGGGTTGGGGGGGGTGAGCCAGGTAATCCAGAGAGCTCTTCTCCCTCCCACAGCACCAACAGGTGCCTCTGGGAGTGCTAAGTGCAGCTGGGATGTCTTTATACGAGGTCCCCACTAATGGGCTGGTTGCAGCTAGAGAGGTCTGAGTGCAAATAGCTAGACTGGGGTTCACCTAGTTAGAATGTGGGCATGGCTTCTAGCAGGTGGGTGCGTTTAGCTTTATAAACTATGGCTGCGACCAGGTATGCTTGGGGGAAAGGGGGTTTCTTTGGGGGCTTTTTTTTTTATCCTTGACTTGGGTATCTATCTTTATCTTTCATACTCGACTGTCCAGCTAGTAAAGGTGATGGGGGTGGCCAAAAGAGGTCCCTAGTCCCTTCCTGGTCCTTGCCCTCCTCCTCATTCCCGCCCCCCAAAGATGGCGTCTCACAGGCAGAATTCCAAAGTTTTATGTCAACTTTTGCAGAAATCACAGATGGGGAAGGAGGGAGGAAGAGACAGGCGGGGCACGGGAGGAGAGAGAAGACAGAGGCAATAGTCCTGGTAAACCTGGAGCCCTCTCTCCAGCCCCACACTCTCCCCCTCCCCACTTTAGGGCCTTCTGACCCCAGAGATCTTGGGGAGGGGGTTGCAACAAAATCCACAGTAAGAAAATGCAGAAGACCAACAGACATTAAGCCTCCAAAGTTAAAGTTAAAAACAGGACCTCCTCCCCTGAGCCCACCCCCCCAGTGGGCAGGGACATGGCAGCGCCGGCTGTCTGATAGCGTTGGTCCCTTCTGGCCCTCCGGTTTTCCTTTGAGGGCAGTTTTTGGGGAGGGAGTGTATACGTGTATGCAAGTGGGAAGGGCCTTCTCTGGTCCTAGTCCCTTGGTCCTGCCCTGTCTCTGGGCCTCGTTGCCCCATTTCCCCTTCCACTGCTCTGATCTAGAGGGGGAGGGGACAGACCTGGAGGGCTCTTGCCCTCCCTCCCTCCCTCCCTCCCTCCCCCTGCAGCGATTCTGTCCCCCCCAATCATGCAGCCCTCCCACCCACCCGCCCCCGACACTATATACACCCCCCCACCCCTGCACCCCTCCCCCGTTCCCAGCCGGGGCCCAGAGGTAGCAGGACAAGCAGGGGTCCCTGGAATGTTCGAAGTTGCAGGCGCAAAGTGCATTCCAATCCCCAGGTGTCCCGGGGCCTGAGTCATCTCCATCCCGCCCTGGCCTGAGCAGGGCAGGGGCCAGATAAGGAGGGTCCCCGCAATTCCCTCGAGGAGAAAAGAGACTGGCCCCAGGTCACATATTGAGTCTGAGGGGACTAGAAGCCAGGCCTCCTGGTTCTGAGCGTGGGGGCTCTGTCCACCCCGCCCAGAGAGGCATCCACAGGTTAGGGAGTGGGAGAGCAGCCAAGGAGTCACAACAGGACAGGAGCAGGGCAGTCCCAGGAGCTGGGGACCTCTCTGGAGAAGGCAGCCCCAAGAGGGTTCCCCAAAACCCTAGGGCTCTAAGGCTGGTGAGAATGGGGACATGACTCTTTGGAAGGGGGCCTTGGGGGTAAGAGTTTCTGCTCCCTTCAGGAGCCATTAGATGCACTCTCTGAACGAGAATCCCCAGAAGACTGAGTGGGTGGCAGTAGGTTCTTGGGCTAAGAAACAGAGCTGAGCTCCCTGGAGGTGGTGTCTGCTAGGTTAGCGGGGTATGGAGAAGGGACTGAAAGCTGTGGCTGGGACACGAGGTGGTCAGGAGACCTCCGTGGGCAGGGTGGCCTGGGAGCCCAAGCCTGGCAGTATTCTGAGGACAGGAAGATCTCCCTGCAAGGGGTAGCCTGGGGAGGAACGGGGAGGGGAGGGGGGCTCTGGGCAGTGCCCGGCTGCGGCAGTAGCTCTTCTGGTCAGGAAGGCTGGGCAGGCTCCCTGGAGGAGGCTGTATTCCTAGGGGCCCAGGAGGAGGTGCTGTCTCAGGAGCTTGGGGTGAGCATCCCAGCCTGGAAGGAGAGGATGGAGGATATGGCAATATCCTTAGGAAGGGAGAAGGGAGAGGGCTCCCTGGAAGAGGCATTTTCCCCAAGGGCGAGGGCAGAGCATTCCAGAGCTGGGGGAGGGGCCCTAGAAGACAGGGGTGTGGCAGTAGCTACCCAGGCATGAGGAGAGAGCTCCCTGGGATTGGATTGTGCCACCCCTACAGGAGCCCTGGGTGTGGTCATAGATCCTTAGGAAGAGCAGGGCAGGAGGGCTGCCCGGAGGTGGCAGCAGCGGCATCTTCTAGAAGCCCCGGATGTGGCAGTAGGCCTCCAGGCTAGCAAAGAGGATGTAGAGTAGCCAGAGGCCCAGGAAGAGGGCCGCCGTGGCCAGTTTGGGCCCTCGGGGCCCCCCCAGCTCGCCCCCGATGTGGGGCCGCCGGCGGTAGAGCAGGACCGAGACAGCCACGAAAGCAAAGATGGTGAAGAGCGTGACGGAGAAGGCCAGGGCTCCGGCCTGCACCTCGAAGGCCCTGCCTTGGGCCGCCCAGTAGACAGCAGCCACCGACCAGGCTACGCCCAGGCCCAGGAAGACGTTCACGGCGTTCGATCCAGTCACGTTGCCAATGGAAGCGTCAGCGCACTGGTCCTGAAGGGCGGCCACCTTGCTGGCAAACGTGTCTGCCCCAGGAGGGGGTGGAAAGAGGCTGTCAGGCCCCCCCCCAGGGAGCCCACGGCCCTCCCCCAGCCCTGCTCTCATCTCTTCCCTAGTCTCTCTCTTCTGCCTTCTGGGTCTACCCCTCTCCGCATTCCTCCAGCTGCTTCTTTCCCTCTGCCTCTGTCTCCCTCTGGGCGTCTGCCTCTCAGTCTCCCCGTCTCAGACTCTCAGTCAGTCAGTCTCTCCCTCTATCTCCATCTCTTTTCTCTCCCTCTCCCTATCTACCCATTTCTCTCTTCTCTCTCAGTCTGTCTCCCTCAGTCCTTCCCTCCTCTTTCCTGGTCTCCTCCCCCCTCAGCTCCTGTCTCTCAGTCTCTGCCCCCTTAAGTCCCTCCTCTCTCTGTGTCTGTCTCAGTCTGTTGCCTCCTCAGTTTCCTCCTCTCCCCTTTCTCCCTCCATCCACGCCCCTCCCCTCTCATCCTCCTTGCCCTCTGCCCTAGTACCTGGGATGGATGTCCCAAGGGCCACAAAGACTACTGCATTGACAGAGTCCTTGAGGCCAACTGTGCAGCCAAAGTGGGAAGCCAGGTCACCGATGAGGGCAGTCAAGAGCCCGATGACCAAGATGGAGACTCCGAAGCAGGCCCAGCCATGGCAGTACTCGGTCGGGGGGACGCAAGCAAACAGCACCTTCCAGAAGACGGTCAGGAAATGCATCACGTAGTCGAAGCAGGAGGGCAGCCGCTCCTCCCTCGTCCCATCCTCCTCCTCTTCCTCATCCCCTGCACAACAGGACAAGCCTCATCAGAGGGCAGGGGTGGTGGGCCCTGTCTTCCCGGCGTTCTTCACCTCATTGTCTCACCTCATTTCTAAGACCGTCTATTAGGCATCATTTTGTCCACTTTCCATTACCTTACTGTTCGTAATCCCCGTTGCTTGGTTTCTACTAAGTCTGGCTACTTTGATTTGTTTTAGACCCCTTTGCCTTTATTCTGTCATCTCTACATTCCATCTCCTAACCCTAGTTTCCTTCTAATTGGAGTTCAGAGATGACGATTTAGAAGAGGGTGACATTCAGGGACGCTCCTACTCTCTGGTCCCCTGGGAAAGAGGGGCAACACTGCCATTCTGAAGCCTTCCTGGAGAATAGTGGGGAGGAGATGTTGGAAGGACAACTGTCCCTGATGCTACTGAGGCCAGCCTCGAGGTCTCACCCCAATAACTGAAACACAATGGTGCCCAGCCCCTCTCCATGCGCTCCTGACCCTTCCCAAGCTCCAGTCCTTGAGAAGCCTTCACTTCAATCCCTTCCCTCCCCATATCATCGTTGCCCCACCCATCTGCCTCCTCCCCGAATCTGTCTGTACTCACAGAATGTCAGATACCAGAGAAGCACACCACCAAGTCCAATCCCCTCATTTCAAAGGGAGAGAAACCAAGGCCCAGACACAAGTCTGGACCAAACCAAGATCCAAACATATTTGCCCAATATCAAACAGAGGCAGAGCTTTGGCTAGGCTCTAGGGAACCCCAGACTCCCACCCTTTTCTCACTCTTTCTGTCTTTTTTCTGTCTTCTCCCCTTCCCTCTTTCCTGTCTTTATCCCCCATCTTCTTATTTGTCTGTCTCTCTATTTCTCTTCTCTGTCTCTATCTCTCTCTGTTTCTGTCTGTTGCTGTCTGTCTCTGTCTCTGTTTGTCCATCTGTCCATCTGTCTGTCTTTCCATATCTGTCTATCTGCTGCTGTCTGTCTCTGTCTCTGTTTGTCTGTCTCTCTCTGTCTCTATCTGTTGCTGTCTGTCTCTACCTCTCTCTGTCTCTGTCTGTCTGTCCATCTGTCCGTCTGTCTGACTTTCTCTCTCTGTCTCTGTCTATCTGTTGCTGTCTGTCTCTGTCTCTGTCTGTCTGTCTCTGTCTGTCTCTGTCTATCTGTTGGTGTCTGTCTCTGTCTCTGTCTGTCTGTCTGTCTGTCTGTCTGTCTCTCCTCTCTATTTCCTAATCTTGGGGCAGGGTGGAAGAAGTGGGGGAGGTGGGGCAAGTGGTACCTGCACTGACGGTGATGGCTTCTAGAAACTGTTCCCTCCAGGAATGGGTGCCAATTACCAGAGCCAAGTTTGTTTTCTTAATGAGCTTATCCACTGTGTTCTGAGGGAAAGGAGGCAGTGTGTTGGTCCTATAGAACTCAAGTCTCCACCCCACTCCCCCCAGTTCCAGCTTCAACCAGAAGGGGAGTGACTATGAGCGCTCTTCATGGTACTGCCAGAGGGGCAGACACACTGGCGGCTTCAGGCTCCTCTTCCCCTTCATCCCCAGGACTCCCTGCTCTTCTACCCTGTGTCCCCAGGCTCCGCCCCACTGCATCCATCACCTTAAAGTCATAAGATTCCTCTATGATGACTTCGAGGCGACAGTTGTCACCTAGGACTGGCTTCCCCATCTCCGCAATTCTCCGGGCCTCCTCTTCTTCGGCAGTCAGCTTCCGGTCTCCATCCCCTATGGGACAGGTCGCAGGAAGGGATGGGGGATTCGGTTGCAGTGTGAAGGATGAGGGTTAGATTCTGGGAAGGCATGGCTGCTTCAGGCCCCATGGAGGGGTGAAGCTGAGCTGGCTTTCAAAGCCACAATAACTCAGCCCCAGCCTCAGTCTTCCAGCTTGTTAAAACTGCCCCCCTTCAATATCCCCCTCTACTCCCTCAGGATGGTCCCCAAACATTCCAGACTCCATTCTTTCTTCCCCCTCCTCTCCACCTCTCCCAACCTTTTCTGTCTTTCAGGGCTTTTACTGGAATCTCTCCCCGCCCCTCCCCAAAGCCACAGAGCCCTCTCCCAATGGAGCTGGTCTGGCTTCCCAGAGTGAGTCTCACATCCAGCTCCTGAGTTCTCTCCAACTTGGAAGGTTTCTGGAAAGTTAGGAAGGGGGAGGCCTCATCTCCCAGTCAGACGGCATCATATCATATACTAAGATTTCAAACCATTCCCAGATCCTCACCTGGAGAACTCCAGATTGAGGCTGACCTCAAACCTTGCACAAAATGGCACCCCTTCACCATTAGACCATATTCAACTTGAATCAGGACCCCTTCCTTAATCCAGATCAAATCCAAAACCTAACTTTAATACATGCGCTTTAAATCTAAGCCTGACCTGAATGTTTTCTTCACAGCAGTATCAACCCCTACCCTAATCCTGACTCTCAAACTGATACACCTCTCAAATCTAATGGATAAAATCCTATGATCCATGTTCAGATTAGCTCTGAATATAGTTCCTTTTTTCTGAGGCAATCAGAGTTAAGTGACTTGCCCAGGGTCACACAACTAGTAAGCATCTGAGGCCAGATTTGAGCTCATGTCCTCCTGATTCCTGGGCCAGTGCTCTCTCCACTTCACCACCTACCTGTCCCTTGAATATAATCCTAACCCTACCCATGAAATCTGACCTCGACCCCTGACAGTAGCTGAGATGCCAACTAACTTTATCCTCAATTCTAAGGCAAACCTTGATCTTAGTTCTAATCTTAAGTCAAAGCTTGACCCCAGAGTGAAACCTGGACTCAATCTCCTACTACTCAATCTTAATCCTAACCCTGAAACTGACTCTAACTTTCAATCAATCAATCAATCTAATTACAAATCTTAAATCTAATTATGACCCTAACCAAATCCTGACCACATCCCAATTCTAAACCCAGTCCAACCTTACTTTTAAGGACAATCTCACCTCCAAGAATCTGAAAAAAAAAAATCTCAGCCCCAGTACTGTCTTTCCCCCAGTCTCAGCCCCTTATAACTTAAGCCTACATACCCTGATTGAGCAGGAGAGCTGGAAGGAAAGAGAAAGAGACAGAGAGAGAGAAAGAAAGGGTGTTAATTGGGTCTCATCTGAGACAATCTCACTTTCTCAGACCCTCATCCCCTTCAACCCATGCTATTCCACTCTACCCAGAAGAGAACAGGGCTTTGAGTACTATCCATGGTTCTGATGAGGGCCTACCCTAGTTTCTTTGGTCCTAGGGTCCCCTGTCCCTCTTCCTCTCAGATCCCCTTTTCCCTAAGGGCCACAATTATCCCCATTCATCGTTGATTCTTGATGCCCCTTGAAACCCCTGCCCACCCACACCTATGCCGCACCTGGTTCTCCTGTCTATCCTCCCAGGTCTGATCCCTCCACACCTTCCTTCATTCCGTTACTAAACTAAATCCCGTTGTCTCCTGGCCCAGCCCCTTTGACCCTCTCCAACCCCCCAGACCAGCCACAGCCACAGCCACCTGAGATCCCTCGCTTCAGCCACTGGGGCTGGCCCAGCTCGATGAAGAAGTTGTCCTTCTTCTCATACTCCTCATCATCCACTATCTTCACCTGGAGAGTCTTCCTGGTTGGAAAAGGGAGAGAGACGAGGGAGGACTTCCTGCTGCCCATCCATGGGGGACCGGAGTCCTCTCTTGGGCACTCTCTCCAAGCCCCTCAGGATTCCTCCTAAGCCCTCATAGCCTGATTCTGATCCACCCCTTGATGGCTCTTGGGTTTCATGGGGGTTAATTGGACACTAATTGGTTTCTCCAGCATCTCCATCACCATGGGAACTGGGCTCAGATTTGGGAAGGGGAAAAACAGAAAGAAAACTGCCTCACAGTCACAAACCCCATCACAAACACTCCAGTCACACAACAGCATCACACACATGCAGAGCAATGAGCACAGACATTACGTCCAAGTGCACATTACAGACACGAGTAAAAAAACACGCGCGCACACACACACAATCGACACATGGTGTCAGAAAACACTGACACCTCACTGTATAACACAAACAAAAACTGACACAACTATACTGACATCCAATCTTGTAATACTGGCACCTAATCATACAACTACTCAACACACAGTCACACATTAAGAAAATCTCTAGAGGAAATAATGATGGACACGGTGTCAGCAGACACCTAAAAGCTTCTGAATCCCACATCCAAAACTTACTAGCTGTGTGACCCTCACTGTGTGGCACAATGGAAAGCGAGCTGACCATACAATCAGAAGACCCGGCTTCAAATCCAGCCTTGATGAACTGACCATCTTGTGCCCCCGGGCAAATCATTTAACACCTTACTTTCCCATCTATAAAATGAAGGAGTTGGACCAGATGGGCCTCTGAGATTCCTTCTAGCTCCATGTCTATGAGCCTAAGAAATTTTCCCTCCCCAAGCCTCAGTTTCCTCATCTATGAAGTGGGCACAGCACCTGCAGTACCTAACTCACAGGCTTATTAGAAGGCTTAAGTGAGATAATGTCTATAAAAGTGCTTCGTGGACTTTAAAGCTTGATGGATGTTGCCAAGCATAGCCACACACCAACACAATCACACAACAAGCACCCTGTAGACAACAGTGAAACAGAACATAGCCAAGCATTTGCCACAGGATCACAGCATCACACAACACACAGAACCATGGCACCATAAAACATGCAACCACACCACATACATTCAACAACAGTTGTCATCAGAAATAGCACTTGCAGAATCACATAGCGCGGATATGCACTCCAGCTTGGTTTAGTTCAATCCAATTCAACCAACATTTACTAAATGCCTGCTGTGTCCAGGGTCCTGTGCTAAAGGAGACACAAAGTTTAGATGCGACACAATCCCTACAACTGTCATGACAGTTTCACATGAGCCATGGGCATGAGCACGCGCACACACACACACACACACACACACACACACACACACACACAGCCCGCCCCACTCCAATATCCACCTTCCCATTTGTACCTTCTCTTTCCCCTCCTATATATTTTAAATTCCTGTAGGTGGGAAGAAAAGTTACCCCAAGAAATCACTCTTAAGGCTGAGAGGGACTGTCCAAGGTGCTGAACCCAGATTTCTGAAATCGCTTGGATTCTCAGAGCTAAAGGGGGCTAATCTAATCCAACTCCCTCATTTACAGAAGAGGAAACTGAGGTCAGAGAGATGAAGGTGTTTGACCAAAATCACATAGCTATTAAGGGGTAGCACATGGATCCAAACCCAGGTCTCTGGATTCTCCTCTTAGGCCTCTGTCGCCTATACCATACACCGTGTTGGGCTTATATTCTCTTCCTTATTCTCTCTCTCTCTTTCTCTCTCTCACTCACATCTGCGTGCGCGTGTGCACACACGCACGCACACACACACACACACACACACAGGCTCTCACGCACCCAGGGTGAATGAGGACAGGGAAGGGACAGGGTCGTGAAACAGGAGGAAAGTGTGAAGTTTGACAAGATCTGGGCTTCCTGAGAATGACACTCCCTCAGTCTCCCTGTCTCCATGAGATTCTCCCTCTCTGTCTCTGAGCATCTATGTCTGTATCTCTCTCTTGGTGTCTCTCTCCACCTTGTCTGTGACACAGGAGCCCCGGTGCAGTGATTTTGGTGGGGGAGGATGGGGGATGAAGCTCTGTTGCCCAGATCTGTGAACAGAAGGCTCAGGCAGCAGCTGGGAGGGCTCCAGCTCCATCTCTGTCTTTGGAATGGAGGGTGTAGGGAGGGAAGGCAAGGGCTGGCAGCTTCCTCAGTGGCAGTGCGAGGGTGGAAAGTGATGGATGGAGTCTGTCTGTGTGTGCGTGATCATGCTCATGTGGGGTGAGGAGAGAAGAGAGAGAAAGAGAAAGAAGGAAAGAGAGGGAAGGAAAAAGAGAGAGAAAGAGAGGGGAAGGAAAAA